CCTGCCTCGCTGCATCCTGCCTCAGCAACACAGGTCTGTTTGCTGCAGCACATTCAGCGCCTGCGGATCGCCTCCTTGCCGTGCTGTCTCACCTCACTTTCCTTTGCCTCGCCTTGCCCTGCCTTGTTGCCTTGCTAGCTAGTCATGCTTGCCACACCTTCTGCTGCCTCTGTACATGGCCTGGTCATCTTGACCCAGGTACCTGCACCCTCCTCTGTGCCTTTCTGGTGCTTGGACCTTGGCTTGTTCATAGCCACCTCCTTGTCCCAGTACATGCTCTGACTTCCTGACCTCAGCGCATACCTTGACTAGGACTTGCTTCCGAATTCAGTCTTGGACGGTGGACTCTGTTGGACTCTGCCTTGTCTCAGTCCTGTTGTCACGGTCCCAGTGCATCTATCCCACACATCTACTTGCTGCCCCACATGACAACCTGACCCCTGCCTTCCTCTATTTGTGGACAACTGTCTAAAGAAAAGAGCCTCTTCTCCCTTTGGAGGTTCTCTATGTAAGCTAAATGGTAGATTTGGGTCACCTGGGTTTTTTTTGCCTCCATAGGGTTTCCCCCCACTAACTTTTGGGGTGTTTTTCCATACAAAATCCAGGGGTGACTCAAACCTGATACCTCCCTCTTGCATATGCATGATACCATTTGGTCTACGTAAGCACCCACACTTAGAGAATGGAGGTCACTGTTAGTATATCAAAGCCAAACAGAAGCGGCAGATAACAATCAACTTCTGTGAAAAAGCAAGAATAATAATATTCAAGAACTAGCCAGGATGCAAGTGTGCCGACAAAACAAGGAACTCAACTGGCATCAAGGTCACCAACAAAGTCAGGTAGGTTTTCTAGGGCAAGAAGTTCTATAGTCTGAGTGCCAAAGGAGGCAGCATTCTCAAAGCCAGAAAACCATACCTCTGATAGAGGCGGGAGATGTCAAAGGGCCTCTGTGACTTACACAACCAGGACCATGTGGCGGAAGAAGATCTTTGTTCTATCACCAACAGCTTCTCATTGTTCTGGTGCATCTGGCTTGAAACACATGTACACAAGCACACTTAAAACACTCCTTCCCCTCCCTGTTTCTCAGGGGTCTACGACCGCTTGAGTATTTATTGTGGTGTACCACTCTTTCTTCCCCAAAATGACTGTTTTGGCTCTGCGCACCACAGTGTTGGTCCCCAAGAGCTTAACAAAGTTGTCTTCATTTTCTTAGGACACTTGCTGTGGGTGATAGAAAAGCAATGACAAACAATGAAGACACAACTGATTTGCTTCCCACAATTCCCACACAGCTATCCCCATGCCCCAGGAAGCCACATGGGCCACCAAGACAACTCCTGAGGAAGAATTACAACAATGAAAAGCCACAGAAGAAAAGCACTGAGAAGAACAAGGCCACCTCCCAGTAGGGCATCCTTGTACACTGGATAGATGATTTTTCCCAACTGGGAAGTGATGCAGGACATTATGACTTCCCATTTGCAGAACCTCTTCTAGCACAAAGGTCAAATTCAATCTGAAAGACGCTGTTGGAGCTGCATCCAATGGTGCATAGGGTTGGAGGGAAACAGGGTGGTGCTAATCTAAATGCATTTACATAAATTTGCGCTTCTGAAAATGCCCAAAGCCTCTCAATTCCTCCGAAAATGCCTGTGGAGGAAATGCACATTCTTTTGGTGGTTTTACATAATTTGGTATTTTTTCTGTGACTCAATTTGCATAATATTACTGCATAAGCACCACCACCTCTGCAAGTCTGTGAATCTGCATGACTTCGGAAAAGCCTGCCTGATGCAGAATTCATGAGTCAGTTTCTTAGAAACTGAACATATCTGAAATTCGAACATATCTGAATCCACTGCAGATTTGTCCGATATTCCGAGTGGGGGACTGGGAGGTCTACACCGATTATAATATAAAAATGGGGAGAAAGACATCGGTGCGAGACACTGGTTTAAAGCAATGTCAGTTTCGGCCCTGAACACTTGGGCGTTTCCAGCAGTGCATAAAGTATGGACTTCATTACCGAGATGGCGTGGTGACCACTGAGCTGGACTGCTCTAAAAAGGGATCAGACCTACTCATGGAGGAGAAAGCAATCAAGGGACACTGGTCTGGGTTGCCATGTATTGCCTCCAGTACCGGAGGCATTATGCCCCTGTAGGCCAATTGCTGGGGAACATGATGCGTTCGTGACTTGCTGTCGGCTTCTCTTCTGGCTGCCCACTGTGTGCTCAGAAGCCAGACTAGTTAGACCTTTGTGCTGATCCAGCAGCTCTTCTGGTGCCCCAAGATGGGCCTCGGTCTTATCGGGAGGGCCCTTTTTACGTTCTTATGAGCTGAGCTGTCTCAAGTGTTCCTTGGGGAAGTGGTTTAAATCTCCGAGACCTCAGTGCAGGGCCAAAGGGAAGGCTTTTGTCCGCTCACGTGAATAGATGGATGGATCCACTATGGGAGCCCACTCCACCCCTGCTAAGCTCTTTATTTCCACCTTTGTCGCAGCCTGACGAAGAGCCAATGTACTTCCTGTTTTCTATTCTGATCAAGGCAAATGTATTCCAGGTTAGTCCTGGGACAAAGATCTCTTTCTCCCACTGTGCCTGCCAAATTACATGAAGGGTTTGTTGCTGAAAACAACTCGCCTTTTCTAATTTTTCCCCCCAAAAACAATAATTCTTTCAGTGCTTTTCTCGCTGCACCCTCTTTCTTCGGGACCTTTCATTTTCAGTTTGCTAATGACACCATCGAAGCCATAGACAGATGAGCATTTACAGCGACCACCGACTGGCCCTTTGCCTGCCTCAGACATAAATTCAAGCTTGTTGTTCATTTGGCACCTTCGCAATCACAATGGGATTTTTCCTAGCCTTTGAGAATGCTGACTTCTCTCTAGCCTGTGCTAATAGACTTAGGCAAAGCACAGAGTGTTTCCCCACCCGGCCAAGCCCAGCATCTAACCACATCTACGTGCTGCACCTTTCTTCTTCGCTGGTGTCAGGATCCGGCGGTCACCAAAGCACGCCAGGGTTCCTGCGGACCCCTGCTGGTTGATTCATTTGGCACCAGGGCTCTGCTTCACAAAGGAGACCTCCAGTCAATACAGCATCAGCAGATGGATTCTCTGCTGACAGCACACAAAATACCAAGTGTTGAATAACACGGACTGGGCAATCATTTCATGGAGAATCAGCTTGTCAACAGCTCAATGGGAACTTCTGGGTTCAGAAGCAGGGAGCCAAAAGGTTTAAATCCATGATTAGCAGCTATATTTCACCCTGATTTTCACTCTTGAGTTGGAGCAAGGACCCTGTCCACATCTAAAAAGTCCCCCCACTGCCCACGCTAGGGTCCCAGTCCAGATCAGGGCCCTGAGCCTATAGTACAGTAAAAATAGAAAAGGAAAAAAAAAGATGTAGCTGCTAGATATGGACTTAAAGTAGTTTTAGCCCCAGGTGCCACTGAATACCAGTTATTGGGGGCAAAATGCTTTGGGCTGCCATCTTAAGGCACCTCATGTGTAGTTACAGGAATGAGCTGACTAGGGACTGTGGAAAATGGATGCTATGTTAGATGCACCTTTGATCCGGTTTCTTCCATTATTCCGCTTATCCAAATCAAACTAAATCCCAGGTGAGGCATGCTGGCAACCTTTTTGGCTGGATAGAGAAGGCCATCAAGAAATCCCCTGCCCAAAAACTGAATTGCAACTTTGCTTCAAATTGATCCAGTGCAGATTTAATGAGGAATAAATTAGTTCTCAAGGCAGGACGTGTGCCAGAAGTGCCATCAGCCAGTCTGGTGAGAGTGCCTGCCTTAGACTCTTTGGAAGGGTCTACGGGGTGCAGAAAGGGTGCAGAAGGGCTTTCGGTTAGAGGACTGCACTGCAATTCAAAGAAGCTCTCTGGGGCGACACTGCATGGTGGGTGTGGCCAAAAGAAGAATGGGGCGGGGTGAAAGCCAAAAGGGGCAGGGCCAAAATGGCAGCACAGTTTGGCTGAAAGCTCTTAGGAGAGGCATCTCGGCTTCTTAAAATGGTGGGGAACGTTTGCAAAAGCCAGGAAGCACCAAACGATCAGCAGTCAAAGGAAAAGGATGCGGCAGGGGAAGCGACCTGGCCTTCTAGGGAATCCCAGAAGGGTCTGATAAAAAATGATGCCCCCCCCCCCCTGAAACAGTCACATGAGGCACAATCCTAGGCATGGCTGGGGATGCTGTTTATGCGAGTCTAGGCTTGCAAAGTATTGTGCTCTTAAAGGGGAGCGCTGGTCCACTTAACATGCAGATCAAAGCCACAGCTGCATAAGGCAAGCATGGGAAAGAAGGGAAAACAGTGGAAATGTGGAAAACGGTCACATCAAGCAGAAGAACATTCCTTAGCAGGCACATTTTTAAAAGAATGACATGCCAGTCAGTAGGATGCAAATCATAAAAGCTCTGTGAGACAGTTCACAGGTGCAGAGATTTAGGACATCCGTGCTTGGCATTAAAGCCAGAAGTCTAGGAAGCATTGCCCGCATGTGGCCGAGTAAAGGAGGTTCCAGAGACAAGGGACTGGAAAGTGGCCCTCCATAGTTATGAACCATCAGATCTCACCCTGTGGCCTGCTTTAGCCATGTTCTTGCCCAATCTAGAGGACATCTTCCTTCCCTTCCCCCCTCCCCTCCCCTCCCCTCCATCATCATCATTCGATCAGTCTTTAAACCAAAACAGACACAAACAACTTTGAAGATCTAAAATCAGGGTTTGTTTTGCTTTTTAACAACTCTAAAGCAGCTTTGGAATATTCCAGTTTTCTAGGAGAGGAGATCTTTGACTTTCCCTGCTATGCAGTTTTAAGAATCTAAATGTCTCCTAGAAGTTCTAGTGTGGTAAGAAGCAGGAAAATTTACTTGTGTTCTCCCTCCTCAGTGAGGCTAACACAAATGTTGGGAGTGGAAATCAGAAAGCAGACTGGGCCAGTTGCATGTGGGAGGAGAGGAGCCATGCTCAGAGCAAAATTGGACCACAAAAACAGTCAGGAGATCTAGTCATTCTTTTAGCCTGTTTTGACTCTCAAGAATCTCACCATGGTAAATCTAGTGCAGGGAAGGAGGCGGGTGAAGGATGGGAATTAGAAACCACAAGAGCAAAGGCATTGCCAGAGGCATTCAGATTAGTACATGACCCATACAGAGGAGCTGCATGTGCTGAGGCGTCTTCCAACAAAGCAGTTTTGACCTTGGGGGGCGGAAAGGGTGACAGCCTCCAAAGCAAGTGAACTGGTGAAAAACAGCTCCCTGGAGGTCAGCCTGAAGCCTCCTTGCTACGATTCCCAAGAAGTAGCAGCACATCTCTTTTCTCCACGAGGAATGCAGAGGGTGGAGCGGACTGCTAAGGCTTCGTGCAACACAATGGGCTAACGTGGTCAGTGCTCTAGAAAGGGCAGCACTGACTGAGCGATTCCTATTGACTGACCGATTGATCAATCAATATGAGGAGCGATATGCTGCTTTTCTAAACAAGGCACTGGCAGTGGTTTTAACCCAATATCCATCAATTCCAGTATCACACCATTCTAGCTAGGTAACAACACCAAATCCAGCACCAAACAATTCCTATTAGACCTACACAATAGGAACTGGGTAGAAGTTTTTAAGGAGAAAAGCAGAAGAGAAATGGCTGTTTTAATAATCCGGCCCATATCTTTAACCAAGAGCAGACTAGAATAATAAGTATCACATAAAAGCAAACAGGGAAGGATCCAAACTTCCACAGCTCCCTTGGGAAAGAGTTCTATAAGCTGCTACTGAAAAGCCTTGTCTCTGTTAACTGCTAGTCTTCTGTGCCAATCTTAACAAGACCAAACACGCCAGGGCCATTCTTATCTGCACTGCAGTTGCTGTTGATATGTGCTGACAGGTCATCTCCAACTTAGGGCAACCCTATGAATGAAAACATCCTCTCCGTAACATCTCTGCTTGTCCTCCGTCAATGCCGATAAACCATACCTTGCATGCAGAGGTTCCTAGGACTACCGTTACAGAAAGGACTAGGAAGGGATTTTGCCTAAAATCCTGAAAACTAGTCTTGTTGACAAGACTGGGACGGAGGGACTGGATGTCTGACTCACTCCAGCAGAGCTTCTTAAGAAGGGTTGGTCTCTCCAGGTTAGAGTCTTCCAATTGTTGCTTCTAATTCTATGCAATTGCAAAGAGTATATAAAGAATGGATGGTGATAAATGCTTGGAAATGTCAACTGGCTTAACCCAAGTGCTGAACTATTTATCTGGAGTAAGGTGAGAAGAATAGAAGAAATTCCACTTTCAATATACAGTATTTTGTGTTCTAAATCCCAGCTGTATGTTGCCTGTGCTTAGGATTTTGTTATGTGCCATCAGGTTGTCTCCATCTCATGGTGACCCTGTGAAGGAAAGATCTTCATGATGTACCATCCATGACAGTCCCACTAAGCTCTTGTAAATTCCAGGCTGTGGCTTCCTTTATGGAGTCCATCCATCTCGTATTTGGCCTTCCTCTGCCTCTTTTGACTTTCCCTAGCATGATTGTCTCCTCCAGCAAGTTCTGCCTCAGTTTTATTATTTTTGCTTCTAGGGAAAGCTCTAACTTGATTTGTCCTAGAATCCACTTGTTCATCTCTTTGTTGGTCCATATGCAAAGCTCTCTTCCAGCACCAATTTTTGACTGCATCGATTTTCTTCCTGTCAGCTTTCTTCACCCCTGCATAGTGACCACAGGGATATGATAGCATGGATGATCTTGGCATTAGCCTCCACTGAAATGTCCTTATTCTTGATGTTCTTTTCTAGTTCTGCCATTGCTGCCATTGCAAGGCTTCCAAACTTAGGATTTATGAACACATTTTATGTATTTATAATTTGCTCTTCACAGAGTTGTTCCAAGCACAGCTGGATGTTCACATGTAAATGAATCTGGCAGCGACAAAGTATGATTCTTTCCCCCATAAATAGGTAAAACCAACTTTTTGTCAATGCTTTTAAAGGTTATATTAAAAACTGCGCATTTTGAATTCCCACCTGTCAACAGATCTGTCCATCATTCACTAAAAGTGTGGTTCTTATGCTGATTTTTTCTACAGATTCTCACATTCCCACAGCATAAATTTCCAAAGATCTGAGCTCTATCGTATGGTATAGATCTTTTTGAATTGTATCATATTCCTGGGCAGTGCCACTTCATATTGCGGAAAGAGGACTTCCTCCTTTTCTTTTTTACCACTCCTCCACTTAAACAACCGTCTTCTGTGTACAGATGTCAGGAATAAACTGTATGGGAATTTTCCTTTTTTCCTATAGACAAAAGTGTTGGACAGGGGTGTATTTTATTCTCTTATCCGTTCCATCTGTATGCAGAACATACCATAAGGAAAGCTGGATTAGGATCAGAGGAAGTAAGAGTTAAAATTGGCAGAAGCTATATCAATCATTTCAGATATGTAGATGACGCCACATCACTGGCAGAAAGCAGCACTTCAACACTAAACTGAAATGACTACTGATGACAGGGAGAGAAGGAAGGGCGAAAGCAGGGCTTCGGCTGAATATTAAGAAAACAAAAATCATGCCTAGACAAAGATTACACAACTTTACTGTCAACAATGAAGAACCTGAAATTGCAAAAAAAAAAAAAAGCATACCTTGTCTTAGTCATCAATTCAAATGAAGCCTGCGGCCAAGAAATTAGAAGAAGACTGAGACTTGGAGGGCATCGATGAAGGAATGAAAAAGATAATTGAGTGTAAGGATGTTTCAATGGAGATGAACACCAAGATCGTTTACATTATTTTATTCTTGATCACTATTGATAGGTGGGAAAGCTGAACTGAGATGGAAACACAGAAAGAGTCAGAAGGGGCCATTTAGTCTGATCCCCAGCTCCAGCCGGCTCTACTCATGACATGCCTACCATGTGGATGAGAGAAACAGAAACAGCAAAAGCTGACAGGAAGAAAATGGATGCATTCAAAACATGTTGCTGGAGGAGAGCTTTGCAAATACCCTGGACAGCCAGAAAGATGGACAAGTAGATCCCAGATCTAATCAAGCCAGAATTGTACCTGGAAGCAAAATGACAAAATTGAATCTGTTGTAATTTGTGTGCATCCTTAGAAGGCGAGCCACCCTGGAAAAAACCAACATGCTAGGCAAAGTCAAAGGCAGAAGAAAAGGAAGACCAAAAATACGAGATAGATTGAGTCTATAAAGGAAGCCACAGCCCTGGATTGTCAAGAACAGAGCAGGGCTGGGAAAAACAGGACATTTGGGAAGGCCTTCATCCATAAGGCCATGATACGTTGAAGCTACTTGAGACTGCACTTCGAAGGTTGCATATTTGAAAAAAACTTGCACCGTTTGTCCTTGACATGCTAGGTATCAACATACAGATAGCTTCTTGTCCTTGTTCTTGTTGTCTTAAAAAGGGGTGGTATTAAAAAAAGTGATTCCTTCTTCTGTCATCTGAAATGGTACAGTCCCAACAATGACCCCTCTCCAGAATTCTGCTTAATGAGTGGCTTAGCCTTCTTCTTGGTACCCTCTGATATTGTTGAACTGTAGCTCCTGTTTGGGCTTATGGGGCTTGTAGCCCAAGAAATTTGGAGGGCATCGACTTGGAGAAGGTGGTCTTCAGGGTGGTGTAATAGTTAGAGTTTCGGGCTGGGCCTTGGAGGCCTGATCTGGATTTCCATCCCCACTTGGTGATGAAGTTTGGCAAATCACTGACTCTCAGCCTATCCTACCTCAGAACAGGGGAGCTGTGAAGGTAACAGAGAGAAGTAAAGATGAGGCCGGTGGTCTTGGGCTTGTTGGAGGAACGGAGGGGCATACAGGCCACGGCCAAGGCAAGTTCGCAGCACCACTGTTGCCATTTTCTTCCATGAATCTTGCAGTTCTCTGCAGTCTTTGACAGGCATTTTAAAAACAGTGTTATTTTAATACACCCACCCTGAAAAAAAAACCCTAAAAGGAAGCGGTTAATCTCCGCTTCCTTACATTAAGGCAGATGTGCTGCTATTTATTTATGTTTGTTTCCTGTAACATTGCCAACTGTACTTTGCAACCCATTCCCTTTCCAATTGCAGGTAATGACTAAACTTGTTAAATTTTCCTGTCAAATTTGTGAACAAGGCAATGTACTGTTTTTGGCTGCTGAAATGGTGCATGAGTGCTCCGGAGATTCTAGTTAACGCACAGACACGATTCGCCTTGCTCAGGGGCTCTTGTGCGGGTAGCGCTTAAGCAGTACTGGGACTCTCCTGGGCTTTGTTTTGGTGTCTCCTAGTGATGGCAGGCCACGTTAAAATCACATGCAGCACGCAAACACTGCCTGTCCTTTTCATCAACTCTGTAAGGTCCAAATCTAGACGTATGCTGGGAGGAGCCAACAAGAATGCTTTGAAATCCCGTGAACAAGTCCATTCACTATCATGATCTACTTTGACTTCCTAATTCAAGCCAATGTCACCCTGACTGGCATTTTCCACACAGTGGCCGCAGACTCCAGCTTTGCATGAGCCGATTCCTTCTAGGCCTCGGGCTTTCTGCTTAGGCTCTGCACCTCTTGGGCTCCCTAGGAAAACTGCTAGTCCAGAGCCATGAGGCAGAAGAACCAGCCAATGCTCTGTGCGCTTCACAAGGTCCAGCTTGCATTCCTGTAGGCCAGCCTGAGAACCAAATGCGTCTCAAAAAGATCTGGGGGATGCTTGGGGACACGGGTGGTACCAAATCCGATTCTTACTGATTTTGACCTCTTCGGAAATAAGCAGGATAAGACGCCACCTATCTGATAGCCAGTGTGGTTTAGCGGTTAACAGTGCCTGGTCTGGGACTCAGAAGATCCGGGTTCTAGACCCTGCTCAGCCTTGTAGCTCACTAGGTGACTTTTGGCCAGTACAGGACTTTGGAGGTGGGTATTAAAGTTAGCCTGTCTTAGCTGTTTAAGTTGCTAAACTTAGGTTTAAAATTTGAAATGAAATGTTATGATCTTGTTATTGTGATTTTACATTGCATTTTATTGTATTTTAGCTACTGGGTGATGTAGAAATAAAATTAACAGTGCTAATACTACAAAAACTGTATTGAACACATAACGATGCCTGAAATCCTGTACAAATGTATCTGTGAGTAAATACTCCAGGAGTGAATTTGGAGTAACCATTCTTAGCATTGCATGGTGTGATCCCATCGTGTGGTCTGAGATAATACATGCAGGGAAGGGCCCTGACTCAGCAAAACAGAAAACCTAGTCTGAGTGCAAAAGGTTCGAGGTTCAATCCTGGCATTTCCAGGCAGTGCTAAGAAAGTGGCCTGTCTGAGACCCTGGAGAGGTGCTGCCAGTCAGTGCTCACACTACTGGGCTGGATGGACCATTCGTCTGACTTGGGTCAGCTTCCTGAGCTGCTCTGATGCACCAGCATCATCGCTCACCCCAAACTACAAAGCAAAAGTGGGCGGACCTCACATGCCATTGCTGGACTTTTCTTCTCTCAGAGAAGCCATATTTCCATCACCACAGTATAGGAAGATGTGTATTTACACTACAGTCCCAGCCGTTCCAAAATTATTTCACAATCTGAATGACGCCAAGCAAAGGTAATTTATGGAGCACTGAAAGGAGGCAAAACGACTTGCATTTAGATTTGCCACCACTTAAATCCCGCTGCACTCTGCAGTCATAGAAGCAAATGTTGTTGTTTGTTATTTGTTGTCAGGTTGTCGTTGACCTATGACGGCCCTATGAATGACAGCTTTCCAAAACATCCTGTGTATGACAGCTCCGTTCAGCTCTTCCAAGTTCAAGGCCGTGGCTCCTTTTGCGGAATCAGCCCATCTCACATTTGGTCTTTCCTTTCATCGTCTGCCTTCGACTTTCCCTAACATGATTGTCTTCACCAGTGTCTCTGCACATATAAAACTGCATGGCGCATGTACCACAAATGCAGCTCCAACCACAGACTTGGACGTGCAGAATGCTAGGCTGAGAATGAGCTGTTTATTCTGACTCCCAGTTGTCACCAGATGTGCTTGTTTCTCCTCCTCTTTCTCATCGCAGCTGCAGCGGACTTGCCTGGCCAGCTGAGAGCCACTGAACAAGCGGGCAACGGTACCTGCTACGACTCACCACCGCTGGATCCTGGCCAAAGTGCCATCCCATCCCCATTGTATCTAGCAGGAAGCCCCACTGAACTCGGCAGAGCATGCTTTGAACACCTGGATAAAAAGGCACAGAACCAAGAGCTGAAGTTGTTTTACATTAGTACTTCTCTGTGCCCGGAAAGGTCTTGCTGCTTTCTGCCTATCAGGCATTTCTGTACAGAATGGGCATAGTGTCTGCTTACATACAAGGACAACTTTCACCATACTTGGTTTGTTTTAAAAATGAATTATGTACATTATTTTTGCTTCCCATCCTCCCTCTAGGTTGAATTTGTCTCCATCCTGCATTCAGTCTTGCTTGTTTGCCTGCCTCATCCCTCTTTGCTTTGGGGTTGTGTGATTTGAGCTGGCAATATCTTTGCGCTGTGATCTGACTCCTACAAAAACCCAGTCCCGATAACCGTTCTGGTGTGGGTGGCTGTTCTGGAGCGGGTGCAGCTTCTAGGAAGTGGCTCATCCCACACCACTTCAGTCATGTCTACAGGCATGAACCGTGTGGGTCAAGAAGACTGTATGGTCACTGCCCAGGCCAGCTCCTTCTGGTATACTTGTGGCATGGGAAAGGCTTTCAGCATTAAGCAGCCCTACAGTTGTTACTGGAGCAGCCTGGGAGGCAGCCAGGGGCAGAGCTAATCATCTCTGTGGCTGCGCCCACAAGAATCTGCATGGAGAGGAGTTAAAACGGTCGTGAAACTTAAAGAAAGCGTAGGCACTCTCGTGGAGAGAAACAGCAACCCAAAAGATGCTGACCAGAGTCCAATATGGCAGGACTCCCATTTGCCGTTCCCCAGCCAGCAGTATCCAGTGTTGGAATGAATGTGATTTACTGTGCGAGGCTGGAGACGGAGCTGCAACGGCACTCCTCTGCCTCGTTCGCTGTCCGCACCAAGCAGAGCTGCCTGGTTTCTGGCAGCCTATCTTAACGCAACATTGTCTTAATAATGTGCAGTGTGGGTTGGCATGCTAGCATAACCCACGGAGAGTGAAAAACTATGGTGGGTTGTTGGGTTGTGAGAACCTGGAATGCTTCCCAGGTAAAAAGCCACCCTGACAACCCATGTCTTGTGGTAGAGGTTGTTGGGCCCACGATGGGTTGTTGTGCTGTCTGAGCCCATTGGCCTTTGAAAAGGCACCAATTAGGTCTGTCAAAAACCCTGAATTAAAAGAAAGCCCGAGTTTTGACAGTTGTCAAAACTGTCTGCTCCAATAAATGTGGGTGGATCACTCTGTTCCACCTATCTGAGTATATTGGAGAGCCAGTGTGGCGTAGTGGCTAAGAGGATGGGACTGGGACTCAGGCGATCTGGGTTCGAGTCCCCACTCGGCCATGGAGCCAACTTGGTGACTTTGGGCCAGTCACAGACTCTCAGCCCAACCCACCTCACAGGGTTGTTGTTGGGGGATAAGATGGAGGAGGAGAATGATGTCAGCTGCCTTGAGCCCCTTGAAGGAAAAAGGCAGGACATAAATTAAAAAATAAATAAAATAAAAATAAAATCTAAAATCTCAGAAAGGATTGAAAAGATGTAGGGCACTGGCAAATGTCAAGGTTGGCCCCAAAGAGTAGCAGGCCTCACTGCAACTAGGTGGTCTACTGCCCCCCTTCCACAAGCAAAGACCACTTGCGGCTTTGCTTTCGCATGACAGCTCAGCTTTTGCCAGTGCAACCTTTGACAGCTGTTGTGGTGAAAGCGAAGTTAAGAATAAGCCTCTTTTCAGCCCCTCGGGCTCAATGTCTAGGGTGACATTGCCCAGACAAACCTGCCCAGTCGAGACTGCAAGTGTGCAGTGTGCTATTGCTCAAGTCTGACTACAAAATTTTAAAAAGAACAGCACAAAACATTTGCTTCTATTAGGGAGGCCCAAACTAGGAATAATAATGTTTAAAGGTGGCAAAGCAGTGACAGCTTCTCCAATGTGCCACTTGGGCACTTTGGAGTAGCTGGCACTGGCTGTCAATTCAGACATTGTGAAGTGATCTTTGAAGGAGGAGGAAAAGTGAGGAAAGGATACAGTGCGAGAAAAGGAGCTTTTGATCATGCTGGGGAGAAGCAGCAAGGTGGATTTAGCTGCCAAGACCCCTGGAATACCCCAGGGAAGAAGGAAGAGGGACAACTCACAGTGAGTCTAATTGTTACTTTAAAAAATCCAACCTGTGTAGCTTATCCTCAGAGTGAGTTGTCACAACATGCGAACCTATACTGTATATTTTATGGCCCTTCCTGTTTAGGAAGGCTGAGCACTGAAGAAATTAGGCCTTTGAATTGTGGTGCTGGAGGAGACACCTATGAGTCCCTTGGACCGCAAGGCGATCAAACCAGTCAGTCCTAGAGGAGATCAGCCCTGACTGCTCTTTAGAAGGCCAGATGCTGAAGATGAAACTCAAATACTTTGGCCACCTAATGAGAAGGAAGGACTCCCTGGAAAAGAGCCTAATGCTGGGAGCAATAGATGGCAAAAGAAGAAGGGGACGGCAGAGGATGAGGTGGCTGGATGGAGTCACTGAAGCAGTCGATGTGAGTTTAAGTGGACTCCGGAGGACGGTGGAGGACAGGAAGGCCTGGAGGAATGTTGTCCGTGGGGTCGCGAAGGGTCAGACGCAACTTCGCAACTAGCAACAACTAGGTTGCTTCCGTTACCTCATGGTACTGGTGCTGAAGTAACTCCTCCAGTCTGTGTCAGGTGACACCAGAAAGCCAATCTGGTGTTACTGCCAGATAAAAAGCTCCCAGATCTGCTGTCTGCCCCCATTTTGGGAAATGTATTGCTAAATGCTTCCAGACTTCAGCCATTCTGTAGACTGAATTTGCCTTAAAAGCTCAAAGATCCTGTTGCCTTAGCTTCTCAGAATCGTCCATTTGGCATTTCATGACGTTTGAGCATCTGGACTTGTCAAATGAGGATCATATTTCATGCAACTGATGACTCCATCTCCAGAACACAACAGAAAGTCTTTTGCTGTGATGTATTTATTGGGGATTAAGGTGCGACAGCAGGAATCTTTCTAGGTTCTGCGGTGACAGACCAGTACAATCACCCTGCTTGATGTTTCCATCATTCTTCATGTTGTTACTCCAGGGCTCAGCAACACATGGCCCTTAGCCTAATTTCATAGGGCTGCTCCATGCAGACCTCTGAAAGAGCAATCTGTCCCTTCTCTGGCTGCCTGCTGTGTGGAAAGGAAAAGGGAGAAAGAAAAGGGGGTGGCAGGAAGAAAAAAGGGGTAAGCCCTCGCTTTTGGCTCAGGATTTACCTACGAGCATGCAGCCACAGATTCCCTGTGAGGAAATGTGTCCATTGATAGAAAAAGTTTGCCCGTACCTGTGATATCTCATCTTAAAAAGATGGAAGGAGCAATCCTATGGCCTTTAGAGAGCATCTGAGGGGCCATAGGATTTTTTGGAAGTTGGAGACAGTGTTCCCACTGTGGAGCTGTGAATCGGAGCTCTGAGACTCCCCAGGAGCCAGCATGGAAGGAACTGCATTGGCTGCTCTCTGAGGCTGGGAAAGCAACCTTAGAGAGAGATAAAAGGGGCATTTCACCAGGCAGAGAGGGGAGAAGAGGGGAGACACCTGGATTCACTCCAGGGGGAGGGAAAAGCCTTTCTGGTGAAAAAGTATAACTGGAGGAACAGGTGGTCTATTTCTAGTCCACATCCTGTTTCCCGCAGTGGTTCACCAGGTGAAACTGAGAAGCCTACATGCATATGAGGGCAACAACAGCCCCCCTCCCCCCATAGCAAATATTTGAAAGAATACTGCCTCTGCATCAGGGTAGTCAATACAGACATCATTTATTTATTATATTTATATGCCACCATTTTTCTTGCAAGACTCAAGGTGGCTTACATAATTCTTCTCCTCTTCAAAATCTTATCTCCGTAACAACAACCCCGTGAAGTAGGTTGGCCTGAGAGCCCAAAGCTACCAAATGAACCAAGTGTGGGAAAGAAATCTGGTGAGCATAAGACAGCTGGATTCCAGCCTGTTTTTAACAGCTCTACTTTCAACATTGCCATTCAGGGCAGGAGAAAATCTTACTTCTTTGATTATACTTTATACTCTACCTTACAACTGAGATTGGCTCCCAAACTAACAAGTACAACACATACACAAGTATAATGTAATGAGAGACACACTGCAGAAAGGCAAGGATCTTTTCAGGGTGGCTGGGAGTTGGTAATATAATTTTCATGAGGTTGGTAATATAATTCCCAAGTGCTTTTCCCATCTCCTTTACAGCCGAAGAAATGAAGAAGTCTCAATATTAAACTTCTCATGCTCTGAAGAGTGGGTGGAGGGTATTACTCAGAAAAATCACTGGAAATTATTTGGGAAAAGGTTACAGTGACCACATAGGAAAAGAATGGGCAAATTCTTTCAAAACTTTTTCAACCAGAATGGAGCTCTTTTAGGGTCCATGAGCGATTGAGTCAGCTGCAATAACCTCACTTGGGCATGCCACTGAACACCCATAACCGCACAGGGAGACCGAACAATATAATCCTTTATTCAGAGATCATCATTTCTATTAATGCTATTCAGGGTGTTATCCTTGTGCAACCAAACCAGCACCATCTAGGCACAAGAGAGATGTCAAGCATGCTCGGGAAAACCGTAAGGTTTGCAGAAGCACAAACTACCTTTGGACAAAACCTAAAGCCCCCACCCCCCGAATTCCAGATGCTCAGTAGTCTGGAAGGTTAAGTAGCTGTTAGGATCTTAAAATAGTCCGGAAGGCTAAGCTGGGGTCAAGAGAAAGCCAATATCTTGGCTGGTTCAATCAGGACCACGCTATCGGTCCATCTGTGCAGGACTACTAAAAGATTCTTTATTGATTCCAAACTGGTATGATATAGCCAGCGCCCACTCCATGCTCCTGGGGGGCCCTGGGCAAGCAACCCTGAACGGGCCTCTCTCCCCAGGTGTCTGCCTTCTGGCGCTGCGGTCCCCAGCTGCTCCTGCTGCTCCTCGTCTTTTGCATCGCTGCGGTCACTTGCTAGCTGAACAGGGTGGAAGCCAGTGAGCAAGCGGGCCCTGGCATTGCCTGCTTCTCCTTCTCACCACATCCATTGCCTGGGCCAGAGTGAGGAGGAGGAAACTAGCAGGATGCAAGGGGAGGAGAAGGAACAGCTCCATGGGTGGGTCCAGGCCTTGGCAGGAGCCCAATCATGCCCACCATCCACACTGACCCTGCATTCATTCATTCATTCATTCATTCATTCATTCATTCATTCATTTAAAACATTTCT